AGTAATAATACTGTAAACATTTTTACAGTAAATTACTGGCATCCAATTGCCAGTAAGTTACTGTCAAATTTACAGCAACCTATTTACAGTGTGTAAACCATGAAAAAAGCTTCAGCAATTATCACAACATGAAATTTTGATACCATCACATGACTAGTGTCAAGTAACTCTCATTAGAGTATTAGTACAGTATTAGTCGACTGTTGGGTTATGATTAGGGTTAGTAGAATAAGCTGACATGGAAAGTTGCAAAGTTACTTATAAGCAGAAGAATGTCAGTTTGGGGACAATTAAAATAAAGTGCTAGCAGATATTCAGTGGATATTCTACTAATATTAGCTGTATTAGTTTGCAGAATGTCTAAAGTGAAACATCAAAATAAAGTGTTACCTATATTTGTGACACAGTTGGACAAATAGGGCCTGATCTCAGTCATCTGTTAATCATATATTTCATAATATGATATTCCCCAGATTGAACTTCCGAAAAAGTACCAAAGCCAGACCTGTGGACTTTGTGGAAACTTCAACGGCAACAAGACTGATGATTCATTTGACAACGGTAAACCTCATTTTGATAAAAACTAAAATTATCTAGTAATTAATATTTTAATATATGACATCCAAACATTTGGTTTGTATAGGTTTGGCCACATGGAAAGTGTTACCAACTGAATCCTGTGAGGTCTTAATTCATCCTAATGATCAGTGCAAAAACCAGGTATTATGAAACAAAATTAAAGTTGTTATTATTTTAACAGAATTTGGAGCTGTGCCTGAATGTCATAAAAATGGTCCCACCTGTTTCAACTTAAAAACTTAAATTCAATTGCTGTCTTAAAATTTTAAGTCATTTCAACTCATAAGTTAAACCAACTTAAAGTACAAGTTATTTCAACTCACTAGAATAAAGTGAGTTGAAATGACTTGTACTTTAGAGTTGATTTAACTTAAAATTTTAATGCAGCGACTGAACAAATGTTTTTAAGTTGAAACAGGTGAAATATTTTCAGTGTAAATGTTGAATATTACATTTTAAATTGTTTTATATCAATTACTAATTGGAACATTGGTACGGATATTTTTTGATATACTCAATGTATACAATGAACAAGAGATGTTATTCTATTGCTTCTTTTAGATTTTATATTCTATTATATATCAGTTTTTCAATATTTGTAAACATTTTTACGTTATCCTATAGTTGCAGGGAAATCATAAAACTAAAACCATTGTTTGTTACTTGGAATAAAATACATACTAACTAAAATAAAATAATAATATAAAAAACTGAAATTGATACAAATTATAGACATTTAAAATAAACTAAAATTAATCATGACAAAACAACCCTATATATAGCTATCAGACTATTAATAAAATCTACAATAGTATCTCAATGATACTAAAATAAAACTGCCTAGTTGAAAGGCCTTTAAAATGCTAAAAAAATTTGTGTCCTCTGAATTTCCCAGACAAACATTTGCCAGCAGCATCTCAGCAGGCCAGGGTTTAGTGACTGCTACAGGGTGATGGACATGAGTTCATTTGAAAAAGCCTGCGAAGACGATCTGTGTCAGTGTTACGGCAATGACGACTGTCTCTGCAACACGCTCACAGAGGTTTCACGACTGTGCACACATGCTGGAGGAGAACCAGGAACATGGAGGACAGAACAGCTCTGTCGTGAGTATCATTAATAAATCATTTTTTATATATATAAAAACAATAGATAGATACATTCTATGTTTCATAACAGTTAATTGCAGTTTTGCAAAGCAGCAATGATGATATATTTTGTGATATACTATTTCATTTGTTCTGCGGAGCAGCAAAGACGTGTCCTCCGAGCATGCAATACCTTGAGTGTGGGAATCCATGCAAGAACACCTGCTCAGGTCCAGATGCAAGTGTACTGTGTAAAGAACACTGTGTGGACGGCTGTTTCTGCCCTCTTGGTGAGAAAAGATTTACAAAAGCTCTGCACCTAGATTCCCCTAGATGGGTCTATTTTTAAATGAAGCTTCTCCTTGCAAAAATATGCTTATCATACTTCAAGAATTGCATTAGCTCCAAGCAGAGCTTAATATCAGAACTGTTTATTTTATTATGTTCATAATGAAAATGGTACACCATTTTGCCTACTTTTTGTAAAGGTATGGTTGAGGATGACATTGGTCACAGTGGTTGTATTCCTGTGAACAAATGCCTTTGTGTGCACAACGGCACAGTATATCGATCAGGAGAGTCTTACAAACAAACTTGCAAAAAATGGTAACTTTTTTTTTACATTTAAATATTTTAAATTCACTTTTAATACCACATATATGCATATCCCCATGCTAACACTGCTGCTGTACTGTGTCAGTGTGTGCTCCGCTGGACACTGGACTTGTACATACCTGGAATGTCCCGGAATTTGCTCTGTTGTTGGAGGGTCTCACATCACCACTTATGATGGAAAGACCTTCACCTTCAGCGGCAACTGTGACTACATCCTCACTAAGGTCTGTGTCAGTACAGCAGATGATCCCCACAATTAGAAAAGTGTGGACTTTATAAAGGTTTCCGTGAACCTGAATATACAAACTATATAATTTGGAGGTTCTTACAATCTTTTTTTTTCAGCGCTCTAATGACAGTGATATTGCTGTCATGGGAAACCTGGCAAAGTGTGATCGGACCCGATCAGACACATGTCTAAATTCAGTTACCCTCATCATCCCAGGGACCACTGTAAGCACTTTGTTTAATTTTCCTACTGCTCCATGTTTTCATCATTCAAATTCTAAAATAACCCAAATATTTTTTTCTAAGAGCACCAGCAAATGTGTCTATGCTCAGAATGGCACACTTACTTTCAGCAAAGTGCACATTACCTACGACATACTCCACTACCATTTTACTTTTATACTCAACAAAATGTATCAAAATCCTTCAAGATGCCATTACAAAAAAATGTGTTGTTTTCTTTTTTGTTGTTTTACTTATAAAACAGATTCATTTTTCCTCCAATGGTGTTGTGACACTGAATAAAGATGGTCCATATAAGCTTCCTGCCACCACAGGTGGGTTGTCAAAAATGGGGATTGCTCTATTATAAGCATGTTGAACATTGAATTAAATTAAACATAATTAAATTCATTTTTTGGAAGATGCAAGGCTTTTCCTTTCTTCTATAAATGTAGATTAGCATGAATAAAAAGACACTGATGACTAGATGTTCTGTTTTGTGTCCTAACCACCCATTTTGTTGTCCCAGGTCCTGTGAGCATTTTTAAGCCCTCTTCCTCCTTCATCATTGCTGATATGAAGAGTCTTCGTCTAGAAATCCAGTTGGCTCCAGTTATGCAGTTGTATATTGTTGCCAACCCTGACGAGAAAGGAAAGATGAGCGGTGAGTTTTCAAAAATATGTGATTAGAATGACTTTCTGTTATGGAGTGTCTATTTACACTATGTGCAAATAGCCCACCATGTCGGCAGAGGCTATTTACACTATAGCTCCACTCACCAATGTCTGGTTGGCATAGACAACATTACAAAAGACGCATGTTGAACAAAAGGCTCAGTGGTGTAGGGTGTGGAATCTTTTGATGCGATCAACCTGAGTTCGACTTGCCGAACTCATTCTTCTCTTTTTTCCCATCACATATTAGATCGGAAAGACATTCATTTTCAATAAAAACAAAGGAAATGTTTAAAAAATGGAAATAAAGTGCATTTCCGGTATAATAAAGTGTTTATCGGGTAGGTGTAGGGAGGGCTTTATTGTCCCAATATAAGGCGGCATCCATTTAGTAAGTTTCAGAAATATGATAATTTAAACTCAATATGTTGTTACTGCATGCTGTTTTTTACTACAATAATGAGGTGCAAGTATCTGCCATTTTTACACTAAGTATAAACAGCATCTACTATTTACACTTTCTGCAAAGAAAATGCTGCTATTTTTTACATATTTTAGAATCTATCGTTATTTGTACTTAGTGTAAAGAGCATCTATTGCTTAGCCGCTGCCCTTTTTGTTGTGGAAGGTGGAACGAGTAAAAAAAAAAATAAAAAAA